ACCATGAATGAAAACCTTCACTACAGCCCTTTTATAGTCATTTGACCAATGGAAATACTGTGTTTCTACCTATAGGATCACAGGCTACAACCTTGTAACTTTGGCAACTGTTGGTGGGCCAGATCAAATGGCTTGGCGGGCCAAATTTGGTCCGCGGACCCCACTTTGGGCTCCTCTGATTTAGAGGTTATAAAAGCACTTTAATAATAATATGTCTTGATCTATAGTGGGCCAGTTGGAGGCATCAAACTCCAGGGCTGAAAATGAGTCCCACTCTGGCCCTGCTTTGCTCATTGGGGTGTTCAATACTGCAAACATTTATCTGTACTCTTTCTGGATCTGTGCCTCAATACAATCCAGTCTGAGGTCTACAGATCTACAAGGTTAGTTTATGTTCTGACATGAACTGTTAGCTTTATCCCGCAGGCGTGTCTTTCAATAGTCAATGAACTGAAGTTATCAAATGTGGACTTGAACCAAGTTGCAGATATACTTTATCTAAGGAATAAGCAATGGAAACAGGACCTTAGCTCAGTTTTAAGTGTCATGGCAAATACTGTACATGTTATAATTTTAATAAATCTTTTCATTAAATTCACAAAACGTTAATACATTTCCACTTTGTCATAATGAAATATTGTGTATATAATTTAGAGGGAAAACTGTCTTCACTTATTTATTTTCGGGTTCAGAATAAGGATGTAACTAGTGCTGGGCGGTATACCGTTTTGTACGAAAACCGGTTTTTATTTTTGTTATATGACTTTTCTGAATACCGGTTTAAGTAGCGTGAACATGTGCAGAACGTTTCGTCATGGCTGCCAGTGAACTGTTTCCCTGGGGACACGTTTCCTCGTAGCACTGCTAAGCGCATTAGCATGCTAACGTTATTGTTGCAACAACTGGTGGTGGGTGGTTTGTTTCAGCTGCTTATATGGTCTGACCTAAAAAAATATCCCGTTTTCACCATCGCTGAATAGTAAACAACTCTTCAGCGACGTGCACGGTTAGATTTAACACGCTACGTTATAATGGAGACGTTAATGCGTGGAGACTCTAGCGTGCTTCTATTGTGAAAAGCCCGGGGGGAAGTAGTTTTGTAATGTAGCGACATTGACTGGTGTGCAAGGTGAGTCGTCCTTTTAAGTTTTATTAACACGCAACGATAGACCAGATAATGGTTTTTTCTCACCCTTCACGATCAGACCTAAATGCATGATTACTGTCTACAACCAGGCAAAGAAGAAAAGAGAAGAGGAGGGAAACAGTGATACAGACGTACAGTAAAATAAAAAAGTCAATAAACAAAGTTTGTACATTTTATTATCAACTGAGCTGTGTGGAAAAAAAAATACTGTCAAATACCGTGAAACCGGTGTAATTGTTGAAAATACCTTGATATGAAATTTGGGTCATACCGCCCAGCTCTAGATGTAACATAAATAGTAGAACTGAAAGTCTGTTAAGGGGCAATATCATGTAAAATCAACTTTTTTGAGTTTTATATCATGTTATAATGTTATCCMCTCATAAAAAACATGCCCAAAGCCTTGCTTTGACTCATTCATGCATGTTTGAGAAATCCTGCAGCGTTTTTATGAAGCCATGCTGAGGAGCAAAACGACAGGTGGGGACCAGAAACACCTTTTGGGCCCAGAAACGTCCCTGGGTTGTGTCCTTTTGGGACAAGCTCCTCCTCTGGGATGCGTTTTTAGGCCAAACTTCCTCATGGTGGAGCCCCCCTTATTTTTTTATATTTCTTACAAACTTGAAAAAAAAAAAACACCAGGAATTTTAGGAAGGTGTTGATTTATAATTGTCTGGGGTGCAGCTGTAACATTTAGCATTTTAGTTCCTTGCTTCTGAAGAAATACCCTGATGTAATCTAAACACAAGCAGCCATGAAGGCTTCTCACACAGCATACCCAGCAGAGTAACCAGTAACCTGAGAATACACTGGGCCGACAACTGAGGCAGGCCCAAGCATTTTAACACTATAGTGATTCAGTGTGTCAACATTAAGAACAGATTTAGAACTGCTAAAAATAAATCCTTTCATTGCAGGTAAAATACACGTTTTAAATTTATTTACTTTTTCTTTGTATAGATCTAGTACAAATGGTCTATTAATACATTTCCCCTTAAAGAGAATCCCTTCCACATACTGAGAACACACTGAAACATGCAGKAGCTTATGGTAATGTAATCTTTTCAATCCCAATACTGATTCTGACAGGATGAATTAGTTTGTTAAAGATWTACAGCATTCTTCAAAGTTTCTAATTCATATGAAGAACAGCGATCTCGGTAATTCTCCAAAGCATAATTAAAACTAAATGTAAAGCTATTTATAGAGACCTTTAAAGATGGTTAGGTAATCCTTGACTTTCTCGAACCACTTGTCCTAGATATTCAACACTTCATACAGCTCAGTGAGATCATGTCAAGCTAAGATCTGTCCCAAAAGTCAGCGCTGCCTGACAGCCAGAAACACAACATAGTGCTTCATTATCCTCACAACTAACAGACGTTATGTTTTATTCCAGAGTAAAAGAAACTCCTCCCTCTTTCAATAATAGGGTCTTACATAACAGGACATAATATGAAAATGCTCTAGTCTTTACCGGTTCATAAAACAATTTGCATCTAACTTCAAGTGTACAAGCATACAAAAAAAATTACACCACATCTTTGTAAAAAAAAATAAAAAAAGAAGCTAAAACATTTTCCATTTCATCCCTTTATGACAACAGTGTACCATCTACTGACCATGTCCATCCCTTTATGACCACAGTCTACCATCTTCTGACCATGTCCATCCCTTTATGACCACAGTGTATGTGAGAAATACAGACATTGTTCAAATGAGATTATTAGTTGTGTTACTGTTTTTGTGTATTTGACTGTACAAAGACACCCCACACTTTATTTTGGGTGTATGTTTTAGTTAGATTGTTCATTTCTGAGAGTACTGGTATTTACTGAATGTCACTGAATGCACCATGTGGAAAGGTTCTGAAA